TGTGTGTGTCTGTGTCTGTGTCTGTGTCTTCTGTGTCTTCTGTGTCTTCTGTGTCTTCTGTGTCTTCTGTGTCTTCTGTGTCTGTGTGTGTGGTGTGTGTGTGTGGTGTGTGTGTGTCTTCGGCATTACCTTGTACAGCTGTGTTTCTTTTCCGCCCCTTGAGTCACCGAGCGCGCTCCACCTACTCGCAGAGTGCATACTCGCAGGCGTCCGAACAAGACATGTCTGCCTCGGAGCAGGGGATCGCGAGTTCCTCTCGGCGGCGGAGCCAGCCCCCCTGCGAACAGTCACTCTGCGAGCAGTGGGACGCCCTCGTCTATTGAAGTACAGTAGGGGTCTTGAAGAAGGAACCCTTTGCGTTGGGGAGGGGCTCGGTGTTCCTTGATTGTTTCAAAGTTTGCCTCGGGTTTTCCCGAGGTTTCCCACAGGAAATCGAGGTTGAACTTATGGGAAAAAGGGGCCTCGTTCCTTATTTAGGGTTCCTTAGGTCAACGCCTCGACTGTATGTTTCCACGCCGTGAGACCAAGCCAGCCGGGGGGCCAGAGCAGGAGCGAGCCCGCAGGCAGAGGCCCGGAGGGCGGCAGCCAGGAGGAGGCGCGGCGGGCGGGGCAGGCAGGTGCGCAGGGTCTCGCCAGGACGGCGGGCCCGAGGGCGGCGACCGGCGACGACGTCGACGAGAGCGAAGTGCACTCGCCGGAGGAGGGAACACGACATGTAGTCTGACATCCACTTCTGGAGCTCCGCGAGGATTCCTTGCATCGGCGCTCGGCGCCCCCCCCAGGCGGCGCCTCCGGCACCGCCCCTGGCGCTCCGCGCACCAGGGAGGGGGCTTCCAGCGCCGATCGAAGAGATCCACGCGGAGCTCCGAAAGTTTGTGTTTCAACCAATTCGACTTGGGGGCGACAGTCACAACGGCGACTTGAACGGCAGCAAAGAGCAGCGAAGAACTCTCGACGTGGACGGCGTGGCGTGGACGGCAGCGACGGCTAGGGCGGCGTGGGCAAGAGCGACGGTGTGGTAACAGCTCTTATCGTTGGGCTTGATTGCGGCCTCACGCCGGGAGAAGAGTCCCATCTCCTCTTCTCACATTCTGGCTCCACCGTCCGAATCCTCTTCTTCCTCACCATCATCAACAGCAACAGCATCATGATGATGATGATGATGTTGATTCATCATCCCTGTGATTCTAATCCTCATGATCCTCATCCGCCTACTCCTGGGGACCTAACCTCGTCTTCCATGCCCACTACTCCTTCACATCCCCTCCACCCATACTAAATGGCCTCCTCTTCCTCCTGCTGCTGTAGGTTTCGAAGTCCACAGTCGGGCGCAGCATTGCGCCCTTCTCCTCCTCGTCCACCCCTTTCTCACCAACACAGACACGGTCGTCAACATCAACGTCATTGGCACCATCAAAGTCATCACCGCAGCATCGCGTGCATCCTCATATTCGCCATCGTCATGATCATCATTATCATCTGAATCGTCATCGTCATCCTCATCCTTATCATCGTCATCATCATCACCATCATCATCATCAGCAACCGCAGCATGCCCTGTTATGGGGCCTGGCATCACCAGCATCATTGCCATCATCAGAGATGCTGATGATGGGCATGCTAAAGGCTATGGTGGTGGTGATGCATCATTGCCATCATCAGAGATGCTGATGATGGGCATGCTAAAGGCTATGGTGGTGGTGATGCTGATGATGGTGATGCTGCTGATGATGATAACGTGGTGATGGTGTCGGATTAACCTTTCTCGTCACCACCATGGGCAACAGCATCATCAACCTCACCACCAACATCATCACCACCGCCATAACCATCATCGTCATCATCGCATCATCATCCTCAGCATCATCAGTAGCATCATCAGCATCAGTAGCATACTGAGCATTAACATGATCAGCAGCAGCAGCATCATCATCATCATCAGCAGCAGCATCTGAATCGGCATCATCAGCATCATCGTCGCCATCGTCAGCGTCATCGTCGGCACTACACGCAGCGGCAGCGTCCCCGTCGCCGTGATCCACAAGAGCAGCAGACTCATCGCCATCATCCTCTCCATCTTCACCTTTCTCTTCACCACCACCACCACCACCATGACCCTCATCACCACCCGCCCGTGCCCGCGTGCGCTCGAGCGGCCGCTCCGCCCCGGAGCCGCTCCCCAGGGCGCCCCCCGCCCGCGAGCGCCCCGCGCCGCGGGCTGGCCACGCACCGCCACGATGGCCGAGGCGGGGGCGGAGGCTCGGGGCGATCGAAATGGGTACTCCGAGTTCGCTACGATTACGAGGACGAGGACGAGGAGGAGGAGGAGGAGGACGAGGACGAGGAGGAGGAAGGAGCTCGTCCTCCTCCTCCTCCTCCTCCTCCCTCCTCCTCGTCCTCCTCCTCCTCCTCCTCCTCCTCCTTCCTCCTCCTCGTCCTCCTCCTCCTCCTCCTCGTCCTCGTCCTCGTCCTCGTCCGAAATGGGTACGCCGAAATGGCTCTCGGCACGATGATTACGAAACCCAGAGCACGGAGAGAAGGGGTACAATGGCCGACAGCACTTCCTGATCATTCTGAGCAGGACTCGCTGCCGGTGTCGCCGTGGACGTTGTCGCGGCCGTTGTCGGCTTGGGACAACGTTTGGTTGTTGGGCATCATGTCCCTTGTCTCCGAACCCATGTCGGGCATCCACAGAGGCGCCCCCCGAGGATGGCGAGGAGATGGAGCTGAGCCTGAACACGCCCACGAGCGAGGGCGTCGATCTGGCGCTGCCGAGCCCTGGCGGGCTCCACAAGCTCGAGACGGCGGAGCGAGGCGACACCCGCCTGCTCGGCAAGCCCGCGAGCTCCCCCCCTCCCCGCTCCTCGGCCATGTCCCTGCCGGGCATCCTCCGCAGGGTCTCCACGGGCGCGTCGGGCTCCGCCGTCGTGCGCCTGCGCACCACGGCGAGCAGCACCTCCAGCTCGCCGACCGAGTCCACGACGCCCACGGGCCTGTCGCGCGTCGCCTCGGACGGCTGCGAGCGCGACATGCGGCGCAAGGACTCCACGATCCTGACGCGGGCCCGCCTGCAGCGCGCCTACACCACGGGCTGCGAGGGGGCCAGCACGGACCTCGACCTCTCCCCGCTCGGGCCGCCGCGCAAGGCCCCCCCCCCCCCGCCGAGCAATATGGGCGGCACGCGGCACGCGAGCACGGGCTCTCCCCCAGAGGAGGAAGACCTGGGGACGAGCCCAGACCCCCTCGGGACATGGAACAATCGCGACGGGAGGTTTTGGCTATTTCCGGCCTCTGGGGGCCCTCACCGGCCCTCGGGGCCGTCCAGGAACGACTCTGGATGAAGAGCCGGTGCAGGGGAATGGGTCGAGACTTCCAGGGGGTCGACGTAATGGAAGAAAAAACAGGGTCGAGACCTCCATGGGGACGACGTCATGGAAAAGAACATGACGTCGGGGGTCTGGGATGGCAGTTGCCCTTGGGGGAGGGGGGCCTCGCCGCCACGGCTGGACGCAGCTCGGACAGTTGGTGCCTTTGGGCCCCGGGAGGGGTCCGGGGATCGATTTTGGAGTTGCCGTCACAGTGGCTGTGTGCTCGGGTGCGGTTCTCGTGCTCAGCATTTTGCTTGCCTGCCTGGCTCTGCCAGATGTCCCGCGGAAGAGCACGGAGGATGGAGAATGCCTCGACTCGCCGCGGCTGCAGGTTCTTCCTCGGGCTCGCCAGTGTCCTGGCGTCTCAGAGGCCCCGTTCGCGGGGCCCTGAGGAAAGGGTATCCAAGCGCCGGCCCCAGGAATCCGCGAACATACCTCCGAGAGCCTGTGCCCGCACCGTTGACAGTGGCCTCCCAAGGTCAAGAGCGGCGACAGCCTGGGCAGCCCCGACTTGCCCCCCAGGGCGGACAGCGCAAGCCCGACGCTGTGGAGGCGTTTTCAGCGCAGTCTCTCGCCCAAGTCGCTCGCCTCGCCGACGTCGAGGTCCGGCCGGTCCCGCGGGAACCGCCTGGACAGGGTCAAGAGCCTGCTTAGCTTTGGCAAGTCCCCGGTTCCTGACGACGAGTCGTCGGAGTCCCCATCCCCAGTGAAGCGCGTGGGCTTCTGCTCACCGGCGAAGAACACCACCCACGAGGTGACGCCGTATGCGAGGAAGTACGGCGTCCACCCGAGTTTCTTCTACTTCAGCCGGAGGGGCGACAAGCAGTTGACTGACACGGGCATCGTGGAGGAGATGCGGAGAAAGGAAGAAGGCTTGGCTCCGCTGAAGCTGGACGCGGATCTCTCGTAGTCATGAGGATCAGCTTGCCTCGGTCTCGCCCGTGAAATTTGTCAGGCTGACGCCAGTTCCACCGACCCCGTTAACTATGTCGTCCGTGCAACGGGTTGTGTTGGTTGGCTGTGGTATTGCATGGCCAAGCCGTCTCGACCGAAGATGCGCTGGCCACTGCATACTGGCGTGTCTCCTTGAGGGCCTAGTTTGGGAGGCCCTCGGCCTCGTCAGGGGTCTCTGGGGAGGGGGAGGGCAGGGGTCTTAGGGGCCCTCCTCCCCCTCCTCTCCCTCCCCTTTTTCTCCCTTCTGGGGAAGGGTACCATAGGGCTGTTATGGAAGGTACCGGAAGCTTTCTGGGGCTGTCTCGGGCCTTCTTTGGGTGCCGTTTCGAGGCTGTCGCGGTCCGTCTTGGGCACTCCTGAGACCACCTCATGCCGAAAAGCAGTGGAAGCAAAAACAGGTTGACCAACATACCGCTTCCCATCGCATGCCACAACGTGGTGCTTCTTTCAGGGCGCTCCTGGGGCATCTCTTGGAGCGTATCACGTGTCTCTCAGGCCCGATTGGAGGTCCCTTGCACTGCGACGCTGCACCGCTTGCTGCGACCTGGTGATCGTTTTTTTATTCATTGTTTTGCCGATCGGCGCGGGCCCTCGACCGCCCCCCCTCCCCCCACCCCTATGGAGTGGATCTTGGCTGTTTTTTGGCGCATGTTTCAGGCAGGTGGAGCCTCCCCCATAACGGACGCACTGCCGCAAACAGCCGCATTAAGCAAAGGTCCAGGGCCAGGACCCCCCCCCTCCTCCCCCCTTTCCCCCCAGTGGCGACACGCCGAGAGAAGCGAGAATCCTCGAGAAGCTTGGGTGTGAGAACCTTCGAGAATGGGGCGTGAGAGAATCGTCAAGTGGGGACCGCGCGCGCAGCAGCCCGCGCAGGGCGCGCTCCGGCGCATGCTGCCTCTGACCCTTCTGACCCTCTGACCCACCTGTGGCTCGTGGCTGGCCGTCCGCCGGAGAGCCCCACTCGGAGGCTTGGCGGCGGCTCTCCGGCGTCAGAGTCCGCGGCAGCTCCGGGTGCGCGCGCGCCCTGCCGTGGGTCAGCGAGCTGCCTAGTTTGCCGACGCCGCGGTGCGCTCGAGTCGGGCGCGTCCCTCTAAAGGAGGAGCATATGGGGGCGATGTGTTTGGTTTTGTTTGACAGTTGTTGGACATTTCTGACCAGTTTTCATCTTTCGCCCAAGATAATGAAAAAATGTTCGCCCATGTCCTTCTACAGGAGGAATATGCAAAAATAGTCAAAGATGAATTCAACATTAATTCAAAAAATAGTCTGGCGACGATTGGTTTCAGTTTTGTTTGACACCTGTTGGATATGTCTGACTATGTTTCATTCTCCGCCCCAAGGCCGCCTGCAGAGGGACATGCCCGACCTACGGTCAAAACGCCACATACAACGTGCACGTGGTGACTTTGATGTGCACGCTATTCGGGGGTCGTACAGAGTGCACGTCGTAGGAGGGGTGCACTCTATGCGCGGTTGTGCAGCGTTTAGCGTGCACTTCCGATGGCTGAGACAAAAACGTTTAGCGTGCACGTCTGATGTCTCAGCAAAAAACGTTTAGAGCGCACCTGTGTTTTCAGAATGTCGATCTGGCTCAGCAGTCCCTGGAACCACACTCTGCCTTTCGGCCTCCGCAGGCCCGAGCCACTTCTGCATCCTCCTCCTCCTCCTCCTCCTCCTCCTCCTCCTCCTTCTCCGCCTCCCCTTCCTTCTCCTCCTCCCCCTCCTCCTCTTCCTCCTCCTCTTCCTCCTTCCGCTAAACGTAAAAAGTTCAGCGTGCACGTCCGCTTGCAACATAGACACGTACAGCGTGCACGCACGTTTTTGTCAGTGGACAAAGTGGTTTCAACCAGGAGAGTTTGCGTATAGCGTGCACGGTCGGTAAGTATCGCTTTGTCACTGAAGGGGGGTCGTGCACGCTATATGTGGCGTTTGACCGTAATGGCACGCGCATCTGCACGTCAACGGAGAATACCAAGCGAAGAACACGAACAAAAATGTCCGGAGGTCCGCGCAAACTTCTGGGGTCAGCGCTGGAGGGTTTCTCTTAAGGGCTTAGGCGACCCGTCCTCCTCCTCCTCCTCCTCCTCCTCCTCCTCCTCCTCCTCGTCCTCCTCCTCTTCCTTCTCCGCCTTCTCTTCCTTCTCCTCCTCCCCCTCCTCATCCTCCTCCCTCCTCCCTTCTCACCCCTCGTCCTCTCCTCCTCCTCCTCCCCTCCTCTCCTCCTCCTCCAATTTCCTCCTCATTCTCCCCATTCTCCTCCTCCTCCTCCTCCTCCCCTCCTCCTCCTCCTCATTCTCCCCATCTCCTCCTCCCCTCCTCCTCCTCCTCCTCCTCCTCCTCCTCCTCCTCCTCCTCCTCATCCATCGTCCCGACTCGGCGCGTCGCTTCATGTGCTCGCTGCTCCTCCTCCTCCTCCTCCTCCTCCTCCTCTCCTCCTCCATCGACGAGGAGGCGGAGGAGGATCCTCCGCCTCTTCCTCCTCCTCCTCCTTCACCTCCTCCTCCTCCTCCTCCTCCTCCTCCTCCTCCTCCTCCTCCTCTCCTCCTCCTCCTCCCCCTCCCCCTCATTCTCCTCCTCCTCCTCCTCCTCCTCCTCCTCCTCCTCCTCCTCCTCCTCCTCCTCCTCCCCCTCCCCCTCATTCTCCTCCTCCTCCTCCTCTTCCTCCTCCTCCTCCTCGGGTCGCCTACATCCCCGGGGGAAACCGTGCAGTCGGCGCCAGGCCCACCTGACACACCCGTAGCGGGGCCGCTGGCGCTGGCCCCAGCCAGCGTCTGGGACGGGGTGTGGGGAGGGAGGAGGGGGCGCAGCGCCGACCCAAGAGATCCGCACGGATCTCCGAAAGCTACCATTTATGTTTATGATGGTATTCTGAAGGCCTTACACGCGGCGCCGCCGACCCTGAAGGCGGGCCCTCGGGACCCCGTCGGGGCCCCCTCCAAGGACCCCGGGGCCGCGGTCGGGGCCGGGGCTGGGGTTGGGGTGGGTTCTCGTCTTTCTCCCAGTGGACTGGATTCTCTCCCGGCAGATTGGGTTTTTCCCGGCGTAGCGCCGGAAAAGAGTCCAGTTGTTGTAGCTTGTCAGCGGATGTCTCGTGCGTCGGTGTTCCAACATATCGATGCCACCTTAATGGTTCGTACATTAGTTTCGCCAGGGACACACCGGGGAATAGTCCAGTTGCTGACGAAGTATTACACCTACGAGGGATCATGGGGAACATGCGTGTACATATGCAACATGGTGGTGTGTGTGTGTGTGTGTTTGTGTGTATGTGCTGGTGTGTGTTTGTGTGTTTGTGTGTGTGTTTTGTGAGTTCTGTGTGCTCTGTGTGCTCTGTGTGCTCTGTGTGTTCTGTGTGCTCTGTGTGTTCTGTGTGTGTGTGTGTTTGCGTGTGTGATTGTGTGTGGTTGTGTGTAGTTGTGTGTGCGTGTTTGTGAACATGTGTGTGTGTGTGTCTGTGTGTGCTTGTGTGTGCTTGTGTGTTGTGTGATTGTGTGTGTTGTGTGTGTTGTGTGTGTTGTGTGTTGTGTGTTCTGTGTGTCCTCTGTGTGTGTGCGCGTGTGTGTGTGCGTGTGTGTGTGTGTGCTTGTGTGTGTGTTTGTGTGTGCTTGTGTGTGTGCTTGTGTGTGTTTGTGTGTGTGCTTGTGTGTGCTGTGTGTGTTCTGTGTGTTCTGTGTGTTCTGTGTTTTTGTGTGTGTGTTTGTGTATGTGTTTGTGTGTGTGTTTGTGTGTATGTGTGGAGCGGGGGGCGGGGGGGGGGGGGAATTGCGGGGGGGGGAGGGGGGAGTCCTGGTGGATCCCGAGGGATCTTTTGGGATCCTGGGTGGTCCTGAGATCCTCAGGGATTGGGACACCTGCTAAGGCGCTTTGAAGTGTCCTGACGGATCCTAAGGGGTCCTGAGGGGTCATGAGGAAGCCTGGGGGCTCCTAAGGGGCGGCCCCGAGGAATCCTGAGGCATACTGAAGGGATCCTGAGGCATCCTGAAGAATCCAGAGGGTTCTTGAGGAAACCCGAGAGTTCCCGATGTTTTTGTGGGGACCTGAAGGGATCCCGACAGTCCGGAATATTCCACTGATCTCGCGTGAAAGACTTGAGGGATCCCAAGAGATCCACAGGGATCTTGAGAGGACTTGAGGGCCTGGGGAATCTTGGGGGGGCCCTGAGAGGCGGCCCCGAGGAATCCTGAGGCATCCTGCGTGGATCATGAGGCATCCTGAGGAATCCCTGAGGAAACCCGGAGGTTCCCAAAGGCTTTGCGGGGATTTTAGTGAACATCGTCCAAACAAGAAGGTGGCCTCAACCTCGTCATCACCACGATCACTCCATTACCGTCATCACCAGCACCACCTCGTCATCAGCATCACCACTGTAACCCTCATCGCCGTCATTACACACAGCACCCGGATCGTCGCCATTACCAACGTCACCGTCACCATCGCCATCACCAGCATCACAGCGATCATCGTCATCACCAACATCCCTCATCATCGCCACCACCAAAATCACCGTTATCGTCGCCCCCACGAACATCGCCATGATCAGAGTCACCACCAAAGTCGTCGACATCAACGACATGACCCTCATCACCGTCATCACCAGCATCACCCTCGTCATTGTCATCACCAACGTCGCCCGCATCATCTCTATGGTCTACACCACCCTCAGCATGGCCACGACAAACACTACCCCCTTCATCGTCATGACCACCATGAACCAGACCATCGTCATGACCAGCCTCACCCCCATCAGCGTCGCGACTCACATCACCGTCGCCATCGTCTTGACCAGCCTCACACTCATCATCGTCATGGCCGACATCACCCACATCGCTACGATGACCAGCATCACGCTCGTCGTCGTCATGACCAACATCACCCGCACAGTCGCCACGATCAACACGAAACTCTAGACGTTTCGCGTATCCCCGCCAGCCCATCCAGAAACGATGTCCAGGCGAGTTGAGGTGATCAGGGCAGTGCGGGAGCAAAGAGGGGGACGGCCAGACCGTGCGAAGGAGGGAGGACGAGAAGGAGGAGGGAGTGGGGAGAAAGAGGATGACTAGGATGAGGAGGAGGAGGAGGAAGAGAAGGAGTAGGAGGAGGAAGGAGGAGCAGGAGGAGGAGGGCAAGCAAAAGGGCCAGAGGTCTCTTGGATGCCTCTCGGAGCGTCTTGGGGTATCTCTTGGACACTTCTTGGTGGCCTCTTGGGACGTCTTGGGTGTCTCGTGGCGGTCCTGGGGAGCTCTTGGGCGTCTTGGGTGCCTCGGGGGGGCCTCTTGGGGCCGCTTTGAGTCATCTTGGGAGCCTCCTGGGGGCCTCTTGGGGGCCACTTGGGGACCATCTTGGGGCATTCTTGGGGCCTGTTGGGGCCTCCTGGGCTGGGCGCTTCTTAGAGCCATCTTGGAGGATATGGATCAAAGAAGAGGGGAGCTTATTCTAGGGTTGCCCCCCCCAAGGGGCGAAAATGGAGCCAAAACCATAGTAGAACCAATGATTTTGGCTTCCTCGCCGAGGCCGTTTTGGACGCCCTGACCGCTCGCGACCGGCCCCGAAGGAGAAGAAGGGGGAGGGGGAGGGGCAGGGGGAGGGGGGAGGGGGAGGGGTAAACCCCTCCCCGAAGGAGAAGAAGGGGGTTGGAAGAGGAGCCGCCCTTCACCACCTACGCCCAGAGGGCTCGTGGGACTCTTTGAAACTCTTTGAGACTCCCTGAAGCTCTCTGAAAATCCCTGAAGCTCTCTGAAGCTGTCTGAAGCTCTCTGAAACTCTCTGAAGCTTTCTGAAGCTCTCTGAAGCTCTCCGACCCTCCCGAAAGCCCTCAGAAGCTCTAGCTCTACACAAGCTTCAAGACTTCTGGGAACCGGCAAAGAGCCCAGTCTACCGGGAAAGAACCCAGTTTACCGCGAAAAACAATCATTCCGTCGGGGTCGAGGCAGGGGCCAGGACCAGGGCCAGCCCCCTCCCACGGGGAGGACCCCTCCCTGTCTCCGAGAGCTAGAAATATCCAATGTTTCTGATGTGGTTCCGTTCTCCAGCTTGGAGTGGTGACCTACCGTCACCCGCAGGCGGGCCCGTCACATGGGACTCGTTGTCGCGCGCCTCGCCCGTCTGCTGGCCATTTTGCCCGCTTCTGCTGTTTGCCGTTTGAACCCTCCATTCGACGACACGTAAGAGTGACCGTTCGCCGGAGTGACCTTTGGTACGGGCCCACTGGGGTCCCCCGATTGCCGAGCGCGATGCGATAGTAGCGTCTCGCGCGCTTGGATTTGGTCCCCCCGAGGGCCCCCAAAAAGCCGCGCACCAAAGGTCACTCCAGGGTCACTCTTGCGTGCAGCCGATTCATGCACATCGAGGCCAGGTTCCGAGGCGAGGTGTCAGCGCCACCCTGGGCGTTCCTGGCCTTCCATGGCCTCGGCCACTCCCCTCCCCCCTCCCCTAGCTCTCTGGCCCTCATTCCTCTCCCACGGCACACGGTGCCCAGCCAAAGGCTCCAGAGTGAGGTCGGGCATGTCCCTCTACAGGAGGAATATTCAAAAATAGTCGAAACAGTATGGGAAAGATTTGTTTACCACTTTTGACTATGTGGGGCCATGTTTACCTCATCGTTTCCACAATTACATACATTTGAGAAATTATTTCCGAATTAATTTCCATCACATTACATAAGTTCAATTGAAGCCGACATGCAACCTAGGATTTCGAAAGAGGTCTAGAGGAGAACATCGTTTTCGTTTGGTGATGGGGGTTCTACCTCTTTTCATTGGACTCCTGAGTCCAGATTCCTGGTTCGGATCCGAAATTAATTCATGAATTAATTAATTGATTAAATAATTGATTGATTTCCGGATTCCTGGCAGAAAGCACGGTGATACAAAACTGGAGAATGGCAGCGAAGGTGAGCAGAGGAGAGGAGGAGAACAGAAGATAGGAGAACGATTGAAACAAGAACAACAGGACAGCAGCAGAGCAGTGGGGGAGAAGAGAAAGAGGGAGCAGGGAAGAGGAGCAGAGGAGAGCAGGAGCCAGGAGGAGCAGAAGATTCAGGTTTCTACGGCTTTCCCGGCCTCCAGGCTGTTCGGGTTCTCCGGGCTCCCGGCCTCCGGCCTCCAAGCTTTCACGCTTAATTATTTATTCAGCTCCGGCCGCTATTGTAATTCTTGGGTAGTAGAGTTCCGGGCTTCTGCACTTTTGGGTTTCGATTCATTTTCTGAATGCGACTTGCTCGTCCCTGGATTTCGGGAAAAAAAAAGGGAGGAGAAGGAGGAAGAAGAGAACCCAGATAGAAAAGGCGAACCTTTTCCTCTCTTTTTTCCTTCCTCCCTCTCTCCCTTCTCCCTCCTCCCTCCTCTTTCCTTCCCCGTCACCCCCTCCCTGGAAATGGCTTTGCCAAAATTCCGCCGCCCCAGGGAAGCGAGCGTTCTCTTAATTCGAGGATCCCGGAAAATCGGCGCGACGAAGCCGCGTGGCTTCGAGGCTCAAAGGGGTTTTCGGGGATTCTGAGGGCTCACTCGGCGCGCTTTTCCGGATAGGGCACCTTGGAATCAGAGTGGGCACTCCTGCTTATTAAATATTATATGCTTCGTTGGCCGCGCAAGTTTTGATGGGTCCACCCTCCTCAGGTGGCCGGCCAGGCGACCGATTCCGGTTGTTATAATAATATATCGCATGAGATAGTGAACGTATATTTGTATTTCAAGGCTGCCGCCGTTTCTGGCAATCTCTCCCGTGCCCCATGCGTTTTTCGTTTTTCCTCTTGTTGAGCGCTGTTGGGGGGAAGGGTAAGTGCCCGAGTCTTTGGATTAATGCAGGTAGTGAAGTTCATTCAGCTCTGCACCCGCTGAATCAATTTCATTAAATGGCGATTTCTGCGCTCACGAAGGCTCCGAATCGAAGTATCCTTTTCGGGTCCTGTAGGAGCGCGGGAATCTTTCCGTGTCTATGTATCACTGTCTCGGGACTTTCAACTGCGGATAACCTTCTCGGTGCGCCGGAGAAGGCCCTTATCTGAGAGTACCGAGTTACCGCCGGGGCGCCCACTCCCATATCCGAGGTGGGATTGAGAAGGGGTATATACGCTCCGCCTCTGGATCAACAGCTCGCGCCTCCAAGAATTATCTCGGCCCAGAGGCGCAGAGATTTCTCAACTCGGCTAAGATATCTCAATTGCGGCGGGAATGGCCTAAGGCCTGCTAAGTCGTGATATGTTGATTTTCCGAACCTCTTCCAGGTCTCGTTATGAGACCTGGATAGCCATTTTGGCGAGGGGATCGATTGGTCTAAAATGATTCGACCTCTGCGCGGGGCTTTACGGTCTGAGATACATCGCCCCGAGGGCACCAGGGGGAGGCACGAGACCCTTAGTGCAATCCCTGGCCGCCCTGCCCCCCCCCGCTGCTCTGCTGCTTCTCCATCCAGCTCTGTTGTTGCGTTGTTTCCTTCCTCCCTCGTCTCTCCCTTTCGTATTCCGTTTATCTTCTTCTGCTCCCACGGGATTATTTTACATGGGCGTGGGGAAGAAATTGCGAAGAACAGGGTGCCTGATGAGAATTCGGGCTGCGGTTATAGCGTTCTAGCATATAAAGCCATACTATTGCTGGAGTCGCCTCGAAAAAATCATCGTTGGCCACGTTATTGTCGGATGCGTTCCAAAGTTTTGGATGGTTCCTTGTTCGTTGATGCTGCGATGCTATCAGATTGACTTCTTTACCCGCCTTGCCGGATTTGTGATGGACTCGATACCTATTCCAGAAGTAATCGAGATCAGTTCGAGGGGGGCTTCGTTGAGATACTTGGTCATCGCGGCAGTGGTACCCGGAGAGTTGTTGAGCAAGCAAGAGGAGTGGGAGGAAGAGGATTAGCAGGCCTCCTCTGCGTGCGGCTTCGCCATGAATATGTCGCCGATGCCCTTCCACGCGCGCGCGTCCTTGGGGAGAGCCAGGGTTGTTTTTTCAAGGGGTTCTTGTGGAAGGCTCTCTACATGGAGAGGTTCGGGGTCCTTTAGGGGGCCCCAGACAGCCATCGCCCCCCCCCCCCCCCCGTCTGGGATCCCGGAAGTAGAGCGCGACGAAGCTGTTTGGCTTCGAGGCCCACGGGGTTCTCGGTGCCTTTTTGGAGCCCAGGGTGCGCGCGCTTCTGGGCGCAGCGATCTCGGAATCGATCGGGCGCTTTGGCAATTGATATCACAATATTAGTTTCGGCTTATCACGGTGCAATTACAAGTACGCGAGCGGTTTCCGAGAGATCCGGAGAAAGTCCGGGAGAAATCGAAATAGTCCCAGAGTCCGGAAGATATTTAGAGATGTAGCATCGTGACTGTCAGCTCTTACACGCTGGGAGGCTGCGCAAGCTTCGGGATCAACCTCCCCAGGTGACCAGCTTGGCGGATTTTCGAAATCCGCACCCGCACTAGAAAGGCAAAGACGGGGACCGTACATCGACCGGCATGTTTTCGAATATAGAATCAAGAAACGACACGCAGAAACATATGCAATACATAGTAATTGCATATTAATTATTTATTGGCGTCAGTCCTCGGAGCCGCGCTTTGAGGATTCGTCCAGAATTTCTGAGGGCTGTCCACTGAGCCACGTTTTCAGGGTTCGCCCAGAATGTTTAGGTGTCAGTCCTCAGAGTCAAGTTTTGATCAATTGGTGAAGAATTTGTTGACGCTCGCTTTCTTTCGACCGTATTGCACGGCACCGTCTGGGCAACGATGAAGACATCTTTGCGTGGCAGATGCTTGGAGTAGCATTTCTTTGTGATACACGAAGATTGGAAGGTATATTAGACTGCACCGCAGGCCGTGGCATCGACAGTAAAAGAGTCTCCGTGAGAGATATCAAGACAGCCAGCTATTTTGAGAGATAAGTATATATGCATTATATATGTACGTGCGTACATATATATATGTATATATATATACATATACAAATATATATATATATATATATATATATATACATATATATATATACATATATGTATGTCAAATAATAACTTAATTTATTAATTAATGAAGTTTTGAGTGGTTTTAGTTCTTGTTGCAGTTACGTTATCAGGATTTGCAGAGAATTTCTGGGCGTCAGTTCTCGGAGCCACGTTTTCAGGATTCGCCAAGAATTTGCTGGCGTCAGGCCTCTGAGCCACGTTTTCAGGATTCGCCTAGAATTGAATTGCACGCCAGGCCGCGGTGCATTTCCAGCCCTCTCACCGACAGTCTCATCGTGATTAACCGCAGCCTATTAGCAGGCGAACTTACTTGCACGGCTTTACTCTCTGATTGCCCTAAGTTTGTTCTTCCGACGCACCTGCGATGACCCAACGGAATTCACTCTCATTTGTTGCGCCTGGTCAGCGAGCGGAGGAGACGCGGGAGGCGCGACTTGAAAGAATCCAGGCGAACTTCGAGAAGAAGAAGCAGGTGGCTGCTCAACTGGGACTTCCGCGGCCGAAACCTCGGGCGAAGGCATCTGCCGGGCGCCCAAGCAGACAGGTTAAGTGGGTGGATAAGCTGTGCGAGGTGATCGATCAGGGAGATGAATTGCCGGAATGGGCGATCTTGCAGCCTCCCTCATGGTGGGCGAATGGGGCCATTGATTAGGCCCGCTGATCCTGTCGATATCGCCAAGGCGGAGCAAGCCCAGGAGATTCCAGATGAAGGCCCAGCAGACGAGGAAGAGGCGAAGAAGGGAGACGAAGATGGGCAACCAGTTGTTAAGAAGCGGCGCAAGAAAGGCGCAGTCGCGGACGAGGCGAACTCATTTGTCTTCGCCTATTTCGATTTGATGAGCCGGCAGGGCTGGTCTAAGGCTCAATGCTATCGCCATCTGCAGAATGCTGCACCTGATCTCTACGGAGAAGTTCACCCTGACAGTGTCGCTCGGTGGGGGCGTCCCTCGCGCGGGCTTCCGCGGGAGACAGCGTCGACACCTCGGGCGCCCATCCTTCCCGAGGGCGCTCTCGTCCGTCTCAGCGTCGTGGCCAGTAAAATTATGGACGAGATTGCATCGAGCACCCGCGTTATCACCGCGGCATTCCGAAAGGAGCTGGCGGCCCTCGGCGAGCCGCGCCCGCAGCTCAGCTCGTCTTGGACCCGGAATTTCCCCCAGGGGCTCGAGGCGCCCAACAGAGCGGCCAAGAAAGCCCCTGCGAGACAGACGGCGGAGCAGATCGACGAGGCCACGCGGAGTCTTAAGTTAAAGATTGCCTTCGTCCGCAAGATGCACGATATCCCGTGGGATCGCGTTTGGGGCTTTGATGAAACCTCTATACAGCTGCTGCCCACCTACAGGCGCGGGCGGGCCAAACAGCGGAACAAGGCGGTCGTCGCCGGGGACGACAAGACGAACGTGACCCCGGCATTGACGCACGGGACTTCATCTTCGCAGCTTTTGTGCCAGTTAATATTTAAAGGAAAGACTGAGCGCTCACAGCCCAAGGGCGTCGACGCTTGCCCCTGGCTTACCATGACGCAGACAGAAAACCGCTGGGTCAACGATGGGACTGCGTTAGAGGCCATTCGACGCATTGACGAAGAAGTAGACCCGCGTGTCGTGATCCGATCCCGGCCCTGGCCCCTCGTCCGGGGCGCGTGTCCCGCGCGCGTCTCCAGGGGCATGCGAGGCGCACTTATCGGGGAATTTCCCAATGTCAAGACCGTCTTTGTCAACGCGAATTTTACCGGCAGTTCACAGCCCGCGGACGTGGCCCTCTTTTCGCCCCTGGAAAGCTTTATTCGGCGGCTCGCCTGCGAGGACCTGCGCAGCATCATTGCCGCCAAGATTGATGATCCCAAGCCACTCGCTAAGGTTATTAAGAAAACGGTACTGAACAACAAGATAGTGGGCTGGGTGCAAGGGGGAATGCAAAGGCTACAGGAGAAGGACAAGTCGTTCGAAAAGGCCCGGCGCAAGCCCCCAGTTAAGGAGGAGCGTTTGGATGTCGAATGCGAGGCCGAGCAGGAGCACAACGCTGGGAAATTATTTCGTCGCGCCGGCCGTAATCAGATCGTCCCCGAGCATCCTCCTGGCGACGAAGAGGCCGAATTACCTGCCGAGGACCTGCAGCGGCCCGAGGAAGAAGCGCGGGGCTTATTCGAGGAAGAGCGCGATGAGGAGCCGCAGTGGGACATGGAGGTCGCGATCGACCCCGACCCCGAGCTGCCGCCAGACCCGTTTTCTCCCGAGGTGCCTACGGAGATTGCCGCGTTACCTCCCGAGCTGCCGCCAGACCCGTTTTCTCCCGAGGCGCCTCCGGAGAGCGATTCCGAGGCGCCTACGGAGGTTGCCGCGTTACCTCCGCTCTCGCCTTCTGCGGCGGAGAAGGCGAAGCAGTTAATGAAGCATTTCGCAGCCCTGCGAATCGCCCATGGCGATCGTGACCCGAGCTGTTCTAAGACATCGAAAGGCCCAGCGCCGAGTCGCATTCCGGCACCGCCCGGTCTACTTGCCCCGCCCGCACAGACTGCGCACCCCTCCTGCGGCACAGCCGGTCATGCAGTAGCGCCCGTAGTGGGGCCTGATGCAGCGCCGGCTAGAGTAGAAAGCTCAGCTTCGGCTTCCTCTGCTGGCCCTTCGTCGCGTAGGAATTTAATCGCGGATGCCCTAGCAGCAGGCCCCCTGTTCAGAAGCGACCGCGCAGTTTGAGCCCATAGATTGAGGCTGCAGTTACGCGCCCTCCACGCACCGCCGCAGGGCTGCACATTCGGCCGGTTGCCCCTTCTGCCAAGCAGGCCGCTCCGAAGCGGGCAGTCCACGAGAAGGCGGGAGCCAAGAGCGCTGCCCCCGAGATTATTGATTTGTCGTGAACGAAGTCGCAGTTAGTGTGATGGACAGTCAGAACGCATGCACTCAGCGTTTCTAGAGTCTTAGATTGCACCGCGTGGTATCAGAGAGTGCAATTCATTTGGCGCTAAATTGCGCCAGAATTGTGAAATGATCAACTTGCTTCGTAAGCGCTGATGACAGAGACCGATGAACTTTCAATGGGATAGGAAAATGTGTGTTTGCAGAATCCTATTCTCTTACCTAAACTGGCGGTAGTTATCCTTGCGTTTAATGCTACTGGCGTCAAGCGTGCATGAGCTTTTATGTTTCGCGGATCAACAGTTTTTGAATGGATGGACTACTTCATTGATCAGACTTGAGGGATCGAGAGAGGAGATGGGAAAGAAGGGGGAGGAGCAATTAATAGTAGTGAAAGAAAGAGGAACAATGAGAAAGAGAACATAAAAGAGGAAGGATGAAGAGGAAAGGAAGAAATGTGCGATCAGAATACGCTTAACCAGAAGATTTCTAAGTAGAATACTTCTGATCTCAGGTTGTTTGATCAGCACTCCTGTTTAGAAGCGCAAAATTTCAAAAATGATTTCTGGGTGCGTTTCCTCTGTTGTCCCATCATCTATTTTCTGTGCCCGTAAATTAATCAAACAAATAAACACGTAGTTTGTAGTTTTGTACATCCTCTCTGCTGTGCGAAGCTGAAGCACTTAATTTTATGATGCTGGGAATGTGTGTTCCTTCTTCGCTTGTCGTTCGGTTATTCCGTGCTGTCCAAAATCGCAAAATCACATAATCACGTGCGTTTCCGTGTGTTTTCTTAATCGTGCCCTCCACAAGCGTCAACTCATATAATGATATGCGGTTCTGCGTTTTGTTTTGTGTTGCGTGATTTGAAGTGTTCGTGTCTTCGGTACCGGTTCGTGTGTACTCTTAGCTGTGCCGTCCAGGAATGCAAAGTAATATCATAAGTTCTGTGCATCGAGGGATCGAGAAATGAGAAGGGAAAGGAGGAGGAGGAGCAGGAGGAGGAGGAGGAAGCAATACAAGAGTGAGTAAGACAAGTAGGAGAAGAAGAGAATAACATATGAAGGAAGAGAAGAAGAATAATTAGAAATGTAGAATCCGAAAACGCTTGATCAGAAGATTAGGGATTAGAATATGTGAAAGAAAGAGGAACGATGAGAAAGAGAAAATACAAGAGGAAGGATGAAGAGGAAAGGCAGACACGTGCGACCATAATACGGTTAATCAGAATATTTCTAATTAGAATACTTATGAGTTCAGGTTGTTTGATCATCACTCCCGTTGAGAAGCGCTAAATTTCAAAAATAAATTATAGGCGTGCTGCCTCTGTTGTCCCATCATATATTTTCTGTGCCCGTGAATTACACAAAAAAACCTTAAACAAATAATTAATCCATCAAATAAATGATTAATTCATTAATTAATTAATTAATTAATAATTAAGTAATAAGAAGGCTTCTAATCTGAGGTTGCTTGACCAGCAGAGCCGTTCAGAAGCGCAAAAGCACATAATACTTTGTGCGTGCTCCTCCTTTGCTGTCCCGTCATAGCTTGTTTGTTATGTTATATGTTCTTGTGTTCTTTTCTGTCATTGATCCGGTTAAATGTATTTTAATTTGTTCATAAATGACCAAACGGGGTAAAGAAAATACAACTAAATTAATTAATCAATGAATCATTGAATTAAACATGGATTAGTTTACCGTTTCTTTTTGTTGTATCAAGCCGAAGCAAATAACCCTGTGGTAATTAGGATTTCTGTGCCCTGCTTTGTTCGCCGTTCGTCCCTTCCGTGCCGTTCAGAAGCACACAATCATAGAATGTTTCGTTCGTGGGGCTTGATGTCTGCATGTACTTGGAAGTTTTTCTGTTTTCTGTATCGGTTCGTGCCTTTTCGAAGTCGTGCCCTCCAGAAGCGCAAAATCACAGAATGATTAAACCTGGATTCGTTTTGTGATCTGAAGTGTTCGATAAACACATGGGGTTATGTTTCCTTCTCCGTCCCGTGCCTCGTCTGTGCTGTGGTGTTCGGAAGCGCGAAAATATAGCATCTCTCCTCATTTCTGGTTTTGCCGTGCCGGCACCCGCAAAGACTTGAGAATGTTAGCCGTTGTGTTTGTTGTTTCGGTTCGTGGTTTGAATCTGCCTCGCCGCGCAGAATCGCAAAACCAGATAATAATTCACGACGGTGTCTTTTTCCGACAAATAATTAAATATATAGTTAATAAATAGTTAAATAATGTTTAAATATGAAATGCATTATCATATTGTATTTATACATATCTATATATATATATATTATCTATATATATATATATATATATACCCGAAGATTTTCGGGACGCGGATCTCCAGGAAGCAAACATGGAAATGGAGTCCACGAGGAGCTCTCTTTAGGGCTCGCATTTGAGCGGTTACGCAGGGAATTCCAAATAGTGTTTGCACTAAGTTCGTTTTATTATTGCGACAGGGTACGGTTACAGCTTGTTACTTCAATCGCATTGAGACTTCCATTTGCATTACATGGATCGTCTGGCTCCTGTTCTCATTCATGACGAAGTTTGGGATTATGGCTCATTGTTATCGACTACTGTGCGAATGTTGTGGATTGTTCGGAGTTTTCAATTACTGCGAGATCCGTTCAAATAGCCGGAGCATTTTTGCATTGCCTTATTTCTTATATGTGCCTCCGGAGCGAGTTCAGGCTCAAGTTGGGGCCAACGGCGGCTCCGCGAGGGCTCGCAGCGCGGCCCCGGCGAGCAACGGGCGGGTGGCGCCGCCTCCGGCGCAACCGCGGCGCGGCGAGAGGGCCTGGATCGAGGGCGTTTTCGAGCGGCTCGTAAGGTCAGCGGAGGAAAGATAACAAAGCCGCTGCTCACCCTAGAAGTTTCTCGTCGTCAAGGGCTGGATTCGATTCAGATCTCTGGTCAGAACGCACGCCGGGATATATTTAGGGAGCAGCAGTATCTTGATCTCCCCCCCTCAGCGGGGCTCCCGGGTGGGCGAGGCGGGCCAGCGCAGCCACGGCGGACGCCGGCGTCCCTCCTGCTCGGCATCGATCGGTGCCAGTCGACTTCGACACGGGCTTACCAGCCGGCGCTGCTATGGCTCGTGTCCCGGACCGGCGGCGTGGCGGAGGCGCGGGTACTGCAGCTGCTCTGCCTCGTGCCTCGGACCGGCGACGCGGCGGAAGCGTGGGACAGCCAGTGGATCGCCATGAGGGCGGCGACGCGGGTGCTCTCGCAGCAGCTCCTGAGGTCTGGCGCCAGCCCATGCCTCCTGCAGAGGCTTTGGAGGAGGTACAGCGCTCATGGAATCCAGAGCGGCGCCCTGGCCGGCGGGTTGAAGAGCGGCCGGGCCGGCCGCCGGAGGGCCGGCAGAGGCCTGCAGCAGGACCAGCTCGGCTCGCAGCGGCAGCCCGACCAGCAGCTGTGGCACCACCAGCAGCAGCAGCAGCAGCAGGACCAGCAGCTGCGGCACCAGCGCCAGCAGCTGCGGCCCGACCACCACCAGGAGCCAGAGCAGCGCGGCTCGCACCAGAAGTAGCAGCGCCGCTGGCTGCGCGGCTCGCACCAGAAGTAGCAGCGCCGCTGGCTGCCGAACCAGCAGCAGCAGGGATCGCACCAGAAGTAGCAGCGCCGCTGGCTGCGCTGACCACGGTGCTGAGCGCGGAGCTGAGCGCGGCGACGGCGCTCGGTGCGGCGCTGGCCCCGGCCCCGGCCCCGGCTGCTACTGCGTAGCGTACGGCAGCTCCAGCGCCGGCAGCTCCAATGCCCCCGCCAGCTGCAGAGCCTGCGTCTAGCTCCCGCGGCCGCGCCAGACGCGCGCCCTCGCGCGGCATCGAGGATCTTCGCAGCGGGAGGAGGCCGGAGGGCCGAGCGCCCCAGGCGGGGATCGAGCACGCGGCGGAGCCAGGGCCAGTTGGCATCCCATTCTCGATAAAGCAGGCGACGAGAAAGACGGCACCGCAGCTCCGGGAAGCGCTGGGGGCCGCCGGGCTGTCGAGGAACGGCCTCAAGCCGGCGCGACGGAGCCGTCTTCTGCAGGCGATCGAAAACCAGCTGCCCTATGCGCCGTCGGAGTCGCCCCCCTCCCCGGCGCTGGCCGCAGCAGCCCGCGGCGGTGAAGCGCGGGCGCGATCGCCGGAAGACGACGACGACGACGACGACGACGACGACGACGACGACGACAGCTCGATGGCGCTCTACGACATGGGCGACAGCAACACCGAGATGGCACTGCCGGCTCCTGCCAGGCCGCTGGGCGACAGCTCCTCCAGTACCGAGCCTCCGCCAGCGCCGAGGCGCGGCTCTGGGGCGGCGCGGGCGCAGGCCGCGGCGGCGGCGGCGCCCGCGGCGGCCGCGGGCGGGCAGCAGGAGCAGCAGGGCGGCGCGGCCGCGGCCGCGGCCGCTCGGCCGAACCCTGCGCCGGGCGCTCCGCCGCCGCCAGCTCCGGGCCAGAGCTCGCACCCGCGCCCGCCGAGCTCCCCGCCGCCGCCTCCTTGACGGGGCCGCCGGCGGCCGAGGGCCCCTCCGAGTCGGAGGCAGCCTCTGGCGGCGCGGCGGCGGCGGCTGAGAGCCCGGCCGCGGCGCCAGCCGCTAA